CCCCCCCCGACACAACCATGCCATGCTAGCGATGTGGTCACGGCAGAGACATCCTTTATCCTTAACCCTTATACTTATACGCAGCGTACACCGCCGATTTGATTCTTTTAGTTTTCGTTTCAGTACAACTTCTACGGCACCTGTAACACAAATAGGTCGTAGTACCAAAGATAATTTTAGTTTTAGTAAGTGTTTTACGGCACTTGCAACACAATAAGGTCATATACGTGCCGAAGATTAGCGGTGTTACTAGACAGTAACAAACACAAAAAGGAGGAGGAGAGAAAGGACGATAGATGTTTGATAGGAAAGAAGAAGCAAACCCCACCAGAGCAGCCGCCAACCACCCACAACAAAGATAGGGGTGTGTTCATTTTAGCAAGAGTTTAACGATACTTGCAACACAATTAGGACATATGTAAGGTGTCACAAGAGAGTAACGAACATAAAAAAAGGAGGAGAGATAAGGACAACAGATGTTTCATAGGAAAGAAAGGTGTTTCTAGAGGGTAGGATACAAAGAAAACAAGACATGTTTCAAGGCTATTCTTTAAACAGAAAAATGCAACGAGAAGGCAATTTCAGGAAAATAGGCACCCGTGTTAAAAAACTTCTAAACAGCAACAACAACAACAACAATAATAATAATTTAAGAAAAACAAGAATAATAAAATAATAATAATAATGATGATGATGATGATGATGATGATGATGATGATGATGATAATAATAATAATCAGCCGCGCGGAGAAAAGAGCCAAGGGGTTAACCGGTGACCAGCACTAGAGATCAGAGTGAACTGGCGTGGATGCCAAGGTATCTCAGGGGGCGAGCTATATACACGTATAATGTATAATATCGCAACGATACAACCACGCGCACACTCGACCCCGAGTTTAGAGTTTGAGTAATGAGAAGCACATCGGCAATCATGGACATTTAGTGTTGCAAAAAGGTCAGACAGACAGACAGACAGACAGTGTTTTACGGCACTTGCAACACAATAAGGTCATATAAGTACCGAAGATTAGAGGAGTTACAAGAGCGTAAAAAAGCATAAAAAAGGAGGAGAGATAAGGACGATAGATGTTTGATAGGAATGAAGAAGTAAACCACACCAAAGCTCCCGCCAACCACCCACACAGACAGACAGACAGACAGACAGACAGACAGACAGACAGACAGACCGACAGACCGACAGACCGACAGACCGACAGACCGACCGACCGACC